TGACTTTATGTGGAAGTCATGAGATTGCTTGATGTGGTCCTGTTCTGGACATTTACCAAACCCAGAATATCTATGCTCAAAAAAAGGATGAAATAAGACTAAATAATTACTACTGTATTTCACATTTTTGCGTTATAAGTATTTTCCTAGTTCACACAAAACACAAAAAAGTGTACATGATGCTCTCTTCTTTTAGGTGAATGTAAATTGGGAAAAATAAATATAGACAGTTGTTTCATTTTTCTTTTCATCATTTTTATGACACTATGATATTACATCATAAATATATATTCTGACATGATAATTATACCATGATGATAACAGAAAAAAAAAAAAAAAAAAAAAATGTTGCTTCAAGGTCACTGCAACAACTTTGATACACACTTTCAGACATACCGCAGAGAACACAACACATTGTCTAACATGCTACCTTAGGGGGACGGGTTTAAGCGCCCCCCCCCATTAGCGTGACCTCGAGTCTAGTCAAAACCTAAGGCCAATTCTACCTGCAATACTACTACCAATGTACCTTGTCTACCTCTCTACTACCCCAAAGTAGAATACCACTACCCATGCCCTAACAAGACAGCATGACATAAGTACTTCTCAGTGAGAGAGAGAGAGAGGAAGAGAGAGAGAGTGAGAAAGAGAAATAGGAAGAGAAAGGTACAAAACAAAAGACATCTACATTTAAAAATTTCCATCATCAAAACAAACTACAAACACCTACAGAAGAACTAAGCCAAAGAAAGTAAGAATTATACTAATCCTGAGAATCAACAAAAAGACAGAAATAAAATAAAATAACTAATTACATACTAACAGTCATAAATATGGTAATTTTGCTTAGTGCACATCACAATGGCTATGGTAAACAACATGAAAACACCAGATGGATTAATTCTTGCGACACTTTTTATCCATGATATTTTTATAGCTATTTTTAATGCGAATGACTTAACATTATAAATGACACTGATACCCAAATGTGATGGAGTCAAACAATTCCTACGACTTTCACCCTCTTAGTGATTTCCAAAAGATCAAGAAAAACTACCAGCACATATATTCTGATTTTGATGCTTGGTCTCGTTGTGAGCCAATTAGGAGGCCTAAATGCCCTCACCAGATTTCCCCATTTCCTTGATTTTTTTTCTTTTGTGTTAACAATATTGATGTTATTATTATATAGATTAAGATTATATTTTTATGTTATTAAGAATACTAACAACATTACAAAGTTTCAAAAAAATATATTTTTAAAAATCGAGGAAAAGGGTAAAACAGATAAGATAGGTAGCCCTAGCAACAGACTTCTTGGTAACCAAATAATTTTATGTATACATGATATAAAAAATAGAATTCACAGTAGACATGACGTATTTTCGCCATCCATGCATCAGTGGGTTAATGACAAACATGTGGTATCTGGCATCAGCATCACTATGGTGGACTTGACTACTTGGTAGGCATGTCAGCTCCAATATGGCACACCATTATAAAGAAGGTTATTGTAGGTTATAGCAAAAGGAGTAAGGCAATGATAATGTTAAACATAGGGTTATCTATCATATGGGAAAAACTGGATGAGAAAATGCATTTGATCCTGAAGCCAATCTGAGGTCTTAGGCTTGAAAAGGTCTGGTTGAGTTGAAGGTACAGTTACATTAAGTGAAAAGAAGTGAGGTTAGGTGAGGTTTGTAATGTGAAGAAAAATAAAGTCTTGGGTTGGATTATATAAATTTAGGTTAGAATAAGACTGGATAAAATAGGTTGGTAATCTAAGGATACGGCAATGGATAGTTTGGTTGGTTGGGTAAATACAGTAAAGTAAAGGAGACCCACAGATAGGTTAAAGTTAGTTAATATAGATAAAGTAAAGTAAGGAATGGTGATATTGGGTTAGCTTATGGGTTGACAAACTATAGATTAAATGCCACATTTCAATACTGACCACAGCAATATTAATATTTGAAATCTGACATTATATCTTTAATCTATATTACTAAATCCAGTGTTTGTTTTTGCTATTATAAGACTGCTATTATATCCTACCTCTTCCTCCACCTCTTCAACCTCAACTCCCTACATCCTATCCAAGCATGTCTTCCTGAGCTGCGTGATTATCGACTCAGGAAAATAGCTATCTATAAGAAATTCCCTAAATGCCTTAAATAAGTCAAAGTATACTTTCACTGGCTCACTGAAATATAACCTAGCACGAGTTAATTTATTTGTGGTACTAAACGTACCCATTCATTGTAATTAAAGACTGATATATCATGGATGAAAAGTGTCTTTGAAAAAATCAAGCTGCTGATTCCATGCACTGTAAACCTCATAAATACAGATGCACACAAGAACAAAATGACCAGTTCTGATATAAAAAGACAAGAAATAAAACTATAAACTAAAAATCAATAAAACACTACCTGGTAAGAGCCATGGGAGCCCGTAACTTAGGAAAATATAAACTAAAACAAGACACAGGTCCACCTACAGCAAACACATCAGGAACAGGCCTAGCCCTCAGACCAGGGCTCGGAATTTCAGCTGCCATTTTCTCTTTTTTATAATTATTGGGAGATCTTGTAGGTAAATGCCCTCTCTCGCGCGCCTCAGAAGGGAAAGAAATGGAGGTATCCTCGTTCTCTCTCGCTCTCTCTCAGGTTTGTTTTTGGTAAGACTGGAATATAATTTTATCTTCCTTTCTTTCGCCTTGTTTGTTCCTCTGTCATTTGTTTACTCTCTTTTCTTCTTCTCAGTCAAAAAATGTTGGTATCGTGGTTGAAACCAAAAGGGAGGGGACAATGTAAGGTGTTCTGATACTCACAAAGGGTGTAAAAGTCTTAAAAATAACGCACTTTGGGGGACGCCACAGCGAGGAGGAGAAGAACAAGGTAAGATGGCGGTGACGCTACGCCAGCGCTGCAAACGCCGCGGTTTCGGTGGCGCTCAACTCAAGCGTTAAAAGAAATTTGCTGAATTTTACTAAAAAAAAAATGGTGAGGGTAAGAATGGAGACTATATTAAAAAAAGCATAAACAGGTGATATTTTCTCTTGCAAGTCTCGTGCAACGCCCATTACTTGCTCGATCCATCAGGAAGAGCGTTTCCGCTAAACACGGAGAGTGCCGACAAACAAAATTGATAAAATTAATTGTGTTTATCGATAACAAGGTATAATGGAATGCTTATAGCTTATCGCGTCTTTTACGAGTAATAAAATGCACTCAAATTACAATGTAACTGGCTGCTCATGAACAGTTTTGGATATGCTATAGACTAGAGTCAAGCTATATAACACGCTAAGTTTAGCATGAAGAGCACTTAGGCGGCAATACTGCAATGAGAGTTTGTTTGTGCAGGCTTTCTACACTTTATTGTTTGTAAATTAGGCGATTCGATGGGTATTATTCTGCTCCTGTATTCGAAATATTGATGAATTGTGTATATGTGCTTTTCATTCCATTTTACAGTAGATATGCTCATCATTACTGCAAAATTGATCGTATAATGGTCTTGTATCGTAAGCCTGATTATGGATTTTTGGTACACCATTTATATGACATCAATATGATATATACAAAATAATTTGTATTATAAGGTTGACCGTAAGAATTGTCATTACATGCAAAGTAATACGAAATGGCGAATATTACTATGTTTTTAAAACCAAACTGAGGACCGACGCCGGTTGTTTCTGTATCTGTTATCAACTGCCTCATTGACTATCTGATAGCTCATATATATTACATACAATATAAGAAGATGATTTATGTTTGTGTCAAATTATATGCTTCCAAGAAAACCAAATACATGCCTATGTTTAACTTCGTAACAAAAAAAAAAAAAAAAAAAACAGTACGACAATTTAGGTGTAAATAACGACGTTCTTACCGGCATCATTTGAAAGCTTATTGACATAAGATATTTCCAATCGACATTATTGGGCTTTACATGGCATTATTTTGTCTGTCGTATTGATTTCTCTCTTATATCAAGTCAAAATGCACTAAGCACAAAGTCTGGCCATTCAAGAAAAACAAAAAAACTGATTCCTGCAATGCTTGTGAGGGCAATGAGTGTGATATACATCTCATAGGTCATTTCTCTATAACTCTCCTATTTCATCATTTTTTACAGGTAGTTCAGAAAGAATAAGCCTATTTTGTACATACACAATATAAAATACACATTACCGTTCAATAAGTACAACAATGTTAGTTACAAAAAGTGACACCGGTACCAACACCCCTCCCATTTGAAGGTCCTTGAGATACGATATTGTTTACAAGTCCCTTCTCGTTCTGTCACAACATGTTTAGTCAGAGTCACGCAGAGATATAGATAAAGAGCAGTAAAGTGGTGAATTGTGTTCAAACAGGCGGGCCACACGGTTGTAAAGTTTCTTGGTATGAGTTACATTTCTATTAATTCTGTTGTGCATGATGTTAATTATTACGGTATAGGCTTGATTAATAAGAATTTGGGTAATTTTACAGAATATTGCATTTGGCAATATAGTGACGGCATTGCATATAATGCCGTGAACTGGCAACATTAGGAAAACATATTCTGCTGTATACCTTTACAGGAAAATGTAATACCGCTAGAGTAGTCAAAGAAAAAAGCTATACTCATTAATACATGAAATAATTTGCGTAGGCAAACCCTTATGTCAAATATGAAGAAAATAAAGTGTGACAGATGCCTCATGGAGAGTAAGTCCACAGTGGCTAGCTGGGGTGATCAGAAGGGGTCTAGGGATGAAGCCCCTGGATTACGAAGGGTTTTGGTTCATATGGCAATGTTTGTGGATTTCCCATGGCAGGAGTAATTGGGACTTATTCTCATAATGGTGCAGACACTACTTAAACATTACCAATACTTTCTTTTGTATCATTTGTGAAGGAAAATAGTAAGCGATTCACATACCTTACAGTTTGGATAATCAAAAGAAGGTTTAATAATTGCAATGTTGGATGACTGTGTGAAAC